GAAGAACATTTTTCGTTGTGGGCACATGTTTTTGCTTAGTAGAGGCAGAACCCCTGGCCTTAAGTGCAGTACTATACAGCTTGGTAGTATTACTAACAGTACTTTTGTTAGTGTCAAGAGCAGTTAGGCGTTTAAGTACCTCATCCTGTTTAACAAGTATACTGTCATTTTTCAAATTATGATCATTCATTGTATCTATTTTCCCTGAGATTTCTTTTAACATATTAAGAACAAAGCTTTGTTCATAAATATTAATGACCCTAGTAACACAATCCAGAATATATTCGGTATGTCTTACAGTGGAAAACTTTGAGTTAGCGTTTTCCGCAATGTATTCCTTAAGCTCAGTGATTACTTCTGAAGCTGCTGCACGAGCAGCAGAAGCTGACAAGCTCTCTGTCTCATTCATAATTTGATATATATTAAAGATAAACTTAATATTTAATATTTATATTAACAATAAAAACAAATATGCTACAGAAATAATAATAAATAACCCGAGAAATCGCACTAATCACTAATCAACAACTCAGAGGAGCACCTTTACCATAGAAACGGCATAGAACGTCAAATTGAGGAAATGGAAAATTCAATAGAATTGGCATAATTCAAATTTGGCTGTACCTATCGAAATGAAATTTGGTAGCATTGTGACATTTATGATCCTCAATAAAGCTATTTAAGAATTTTTCTAAAAATGCAACCAGAAGTCCACAATAGAACGACGAAATTCCACCGGAAATAAGCGATATTCTCATAACTGCTGGACCGAATTCGACAAAATTCAAAATCGTACTCATAGAACTGAAGTGAGTCAGATCCTGTGTAGCGATTCGGTAAATCGGTCAGCTGTAATCCCAAAAAAAAAGTCCGAAGTTCCAAAAATTCCAACGCTCGTAGTTTGAAAAATACTTGATCAATTTTAATAAAAGTAACACCGTTGCAATCCCTATCTCTTGCCGATTTCAAAAATATATAACACTTGTAGCACAAGACATCATTACCGCAAATATCGCAAATCAAAAACAGAGCTGAAAATCCAGCAGCTTAATTGCTCTCGTTCAAGGAGTCGTTCTCGATCTCATTATTGCAGCCATTCTCGTTCACGATCTCCTAGACATCGTAGATGTGATAGTCATCGAGATTAGAACAGAACGAGATTAGAATAGAGATTAGAGACAGAAGTCATAGCAGATCGCCTATGTCCACTCATCGTCGACATGTTGAAAATCGAGATAATCCACAGCCAAGCAGATGTCTTGGAGTGTTCGGTTTGAGTTTATACACCCAGGAGCGTGATTTAATAGTAGTATTTTCTATCTATCTACCTTCTCAGCATTTTTCGTTCCATTGGAACGAAAAATGTTAAAGCCTGAAGATGGCCTATACAAATTGGCCGAAAACGTTTGAATAAAGAAAATAACTCGGCAAATACAAATCAGGTGTGTGTGGTTTATTATTATAAGTAGTATTTTCAAAATATGGTCCTCTGGAAGATGTTCAAGTAGTATATGATGCACAGACTGGAAGATCACGTGGATTTGCATTTGTTTATTTTGAAAATGTAGAGGATTCAAAAATGGCAAAAGAGAGATGCAATGGTCAGGAAATTGATGGGTGTAAAATAAGAGTAGACTATAAGAATTTTGAATCGTATACGTTCAGTTCCAAACGCGTTCGAATTCCTAAGTAGCCTGATGAAGACCTCGATGAGGTTGAAAACGTTTGCTAAGGTGTAAACAAATACCACTGGAGCGGTAAAGGTTGTTTGAACTGTTGAAGTAGACTATTCCATTACTCAACGAGCTCACACTCCAACGCCGAGAATATACATGGGAAAACCAACTTATCCTGGATACGGTGGCAGTGGTGGTGATGGAGGAGGAAGTGGTGATGGAGGAGGAAGTGGAGGTGGAGGTTGCAGAGGAAGGTCTCCTTCCCCCTATTAGTCGTAGTCGAAGATATTCCAGCTCCCGCTCCTATTCACCCCGTAAGTACGGCTACTACTGAGGGCAAAAGGAGTAATTGATGTTCTACAGTGCTTCATTTGTGGTACAATGTGTAACACTTAAAGACAAAATTGATCCCTGGTATAAAGACAGGGATCAGCTATANCTGCTAGTTTTAAATTAGTTTCGAGGTGAGTCTGTTAGCCGGTTTCTCGTTTTAATTTTTACTAAATTCATTGCAGGAAAAACTATTCACACACATAAGTTGTAGAGAATAACATTTGAATTTTTGCTGCATACTTCTTAAGCTAGGAAATTGGTGTATTTATACACATTTTATGCGACTCGGGCCGCGGAATGCCCATCCCTGACTTAGACTATGCCTACGACAACGAGTCGATCGCAACACATTTTTAAGATAAAAAGTAGATCTTACGTACACAAAAGTTGGCCACCCCTGATGTAGAGGATTCAAAAATGGCAAAAGAGAGATGCAATGGTCAGGAAATTGATGGGTGTAAAATAAGAGTAGACTATTCCATTACTCAACGAGCTCACACTCCAACGCCGGGAATATACATGGGAAAACCAACTTATCCTGGATACGGTGGCAGTGGTGGTGCTGGAGGAGGAAGTGGAGGTGGAGGTTACAGAGGAAGGTCTCCTATTAGTCGTAGTCGAAGATATTCCAGCTCTCGCTCCTATTCACCCCGTAAGTACGGCTACTACTGAGGGCAAAAGGAGTAATTGATGTTCTACAGTGCTTCATTTGTGGTACAATGTGTAACACTTAAAGACAAAATTGATCCCTGGTATAAAGACAGGGATCAGCTATACTTCTTTTAAATCCTTCATTAAGAAACTTCAGACTATGAGGCGTTAAATAAAATTAGAAGAAATATTTTAATCTTGCGAGCGCTTTCAACGTAAATATGTACGTCGTCTTCAGTCAATTCAAAATCGAATAGAGAATTCGAACAGAACATTTAAATTTAAACATTAACAATTTTAGCCGTTTTTGGAATATTATTATAAATAAGATTTAAATTTTAGAAATAAATATTTTAAGATGGTGCGCATGCCTTTTAAACAAATAAAGAAATAAAGACCGATTGAAATGGCTATTAATTATTTTGTAAACGCGAAAAATTGGCGCGTGCTCCTTAATATGTATAACATAAAAACCAATTGGAATGGCTATTAAGAACAAGTAAATTTTAGATTTTGAATTAAAAATATTTTGTAAATGCGTATAAAATTTTTGCACGCATGCGCCTTAACATACAGCATAGAAGCCGATCAGAATAGACCCCTAAGTGCAAGTTTAGATTAAAATTTTAAACATAAAGTCGTGACATAACTTAAAATACATAAAACATGCGTAACATATAAAAATAAAACGCACATAAAGAGGCCGACCGACGTATGCGCCTTGATTCATATAGGAGGTGCGGGAAAGGGGTGTAGAATTATTGTTGATTTTTTAAACGCCTGTATAAATTAATCCACACGTCCGGTAAGTCGAGGGTAGGGGAGTTGCACGGGGAGAGCAGTTTTGTGAAGATGGCCTCAAATATATATCAAGCTCCCTTCATCACAGCGTTTGAGTATTGCCACTCGATTCCAAAGCGCTATGTGGTGGTGTTGTATCGCCAATTTGGAAAGTTCCGTGTCGCAATTGCCAAGTGCCACTGAACGTTGGTGTTCAGATACGCGAGCAGCCAGCATTCTGGTAGTCTCTCCTATATAATTGGTGCATAGTCCTGATATTGGATTTTGCAGAGGAACGGAGTATACACCAGATTTTTCCAGGGTGGAAATAGCATCTCTATCATTACACAAGATTCGTCGCAGACATGGTCGTGGGGCTATAGGTAAACGAAAACCATTCTGCCTAAAGATCCGGCAGATCCGGGCCGTGAAGCGTCCACAGTATGGGAGTGAGGGACGAAGTGTTGTCCAATCCCTTGGTGTGCGTAATGTGGTGGCAGGGAAGAGAGACTGCATAACTCTATTTTTAACATGGATGTATTTGGAAGAACTAAATCCCGCCGCGTACACCGCTGTGCGGACGGACTCCAGTGCAGTATTGATAAGATGGTAGTGTGTATCTCACACTACCATCGACACAGATGGTAGTGTGAGATCCGAATAGGCCCCGGGTCTAAATTAATAATTTCAAAATAATATTAAATTTTTGTTATAAAATATTCTTTCGTTTTGGTGAGAAAAATAACGTCTTAGGTGGGAAAAGATAGATAACAGATGCTACTTCCTTCCACGGAAGTTAGAACATCCTCTGTTTTTCCATTATCTGCTAAAAATCTCGCTTCAGTGGGAACTGTTTACCCCTCATTTCATCCCCTTTCCATCCGTCCACGTAGATAAAGCCTCGACTGATAATTGGTCGTAGGTGAGAAGATACAGGGGATGTTCAACCGAATTCGAGGAGTTCATCGACAGACCTGGAAGAGTCAGGACTCCATACATATTTCTCCTGATGGCCAACGCCCTTAGTCGAGTCACATAGAATAAATCCAGAGTTAGCACTTAGAAGATATACTTTGATTTTGTGCACATCTCGATCTCCCACGGAATGAAGTTTGAGAACTTTATAAACGAAGTGCCTTTGCCAACCGATGAAGAAGACGAAAGACAACTAAAACAGGTTGTATGTTTAATAGCGATATTGTAAGCTTTCTCTCTCGATCGTGTATCGGTTAAGTATAAGTCCATATCTCTCTCGACTTATAGGTTGTAATTCATATTCATTGTCTCACTACCATATATTTGTACTATTTTTATTGGTTTATGTTTATATTAAATTTATTCTTGTTTATTTGTTAAAGAATGTCTCCTCTAGAATGTCTGAATCAGATCTATAAACCAATCACACGCGTTTTTGTCCGCGGAACGATTAATTGACAAACTGGTGTCGGGAACCTGACAATTTGGATAGAGACGTCACAGTCTTTGATCCTCATCAAGCAGAATATTACCGTCTTCCTATGTAAGTTTTTAAGATCAGATCTAGTGATCTGAAACTTTAGAGAACAGATTTCGGATAATCTGTGCCGATTAAGTGGTACCAACAATCCTAAACGGAGTTTGTACCCCCGGCTACTCCCACACTGGTTTTCAGGAGTGGGGTTTAGAACTTAAAAATCCGTAGAAGATTCTCACACTGGTGTCCCAGGAGTGGGGTTATCGAACTGAAAACCTTTCAGAAATCACAAGTGGTTTATATGAGTGGGGTTTCGAATTAAAAACTTGTAGTAACCTCTCACGAGTGGTGTGTTAAAAGTGTGAGTAGAGATCTGATTCAGAAAAAAGAGACAAATAGTTGATTGATTGATAGATCAAATCCATATTGAAGGAGTATAAAAATAATTTTGATTTATATTAAGTTTTAGTCATAAGTTAGAAATAAGATAATGGATAGAGATAGGGAAGAACCTTCGCGAGCTACATTAGCTGGTAACCCAATTACTTTAGGCGGTTTGGGTGGAATGATTCCCTTATTGCCGACATTCTCGGGGGATGTAAAAGGTCCGAAAGTATCCGAATATTTCGATACATTAGCGGATGTGACTAGAGTAGCAGCGTGGTCAAAGGCACAGATGCTGGCTGTTGCTAAGTTAAAAGTGATAGGAATTGCCAGAGAATTTGTAAGAAAGGATTGGCACATAAAGGAAGTAGATGATTATGACGAATTTAAAAAAATGAAACGTCCAGGCTCGAGAGGAAGATGTGCAGACGTATGCCGTGCGTCTCCAAGCTCTGGCCGAAGAAGTAGAAATTACCCATGAAGGGGCCAATGATGCTGAAATAGCGGTAATAAAACGAGTCAAGGAGAAAGAATTAGATGAACGGTTAAAGGTCCAATTTATGAATGGGGTTGACATTAAAATCAGGCAACGAGTTATGTCAAGGAAACCCGAAACATTCGACCAGGCCCTAAAAATAGCAATAAATGAGGAGAATATCGAACTTCTCACTTCTCATCCTAGAGGCCTTTTAAAAGTAATAAAGGAAGAGGAAGAGTTAGTAGATAACAAGGAGGATAATTTAATAGAAACCGAATCAAAATCCGAAAAACAAATGAAGAAAATAATGACCATCGTAGGGGATCTACAAAATCAATTTAATACTTTTATGAAAAAATCTCAAGAAGAAAAAGATAGAGAAAGAGGACGAAATATAAGATATTTCCGTTCGACAGAGCGAACATACAACGGAAATCGGCAACCAAGTTCCAATTTCCGTTGAGAGACATATAGAAATAATTATCGTTCTGATT